ATTCTGGGATAAGAGACCTCTCTCCCTCACCCCCTCTTTCAATACCTGGACCAAGGAAGTCTTAGTATCAACAATGAATAAGGCGGGAAAAAATTCTGGACAGCTTCTACATCCAAGCATGAGCATTCACAGCCATGGATATTTCAAAGGAGATTTTTTATTTTATTATACAATGCCTCCTGCTGTCAAATAGGCAACATTCATTTGTAAAACTCGGGGTGGGGGTGGGGGAAAGGAATGCACGGCTCAGAGAGTTGCTCTGCAAAGCCTGTATTCCTTCCACCATCACCACTACCACACACAGCAAGTTGCCAGCTGAACATAGCAATGATTGCTGGCATGATAAGGAAGCTCATTTTTAACATCTTAAGTTGCCAACTTTGACAGGTGGCTGCTGTGGAAATTTGGCAGAAGTCCAAGAAGGAAGAATCAATGTGGAGTTAGACCAAAGGAGATGGGACAACAGTTGGTTTCTGCCACATCTCCAGATTCCTTTTCTCTTTGCACAGCAGGCTGGTTGACTTCCATCATGCTCCCAGGGCTGTTTGCAGTCCTGCCAGGGATTCATTGCAGCTCGTATGTTAATGAAATCAAATCCAAATCTGTCAGCTCATGGACAAATTTCTTCCTAATAATTCTTATTAGGATGTTATTTGAATGTGCCCAGGCTGGACCTGTTATTGCTAGAGGTAGGATGATATGCTTAGTGTTGCATGCAATGAGAAGGAAAGATAGAGTCTTTTTAATCATGAGAAGGGAAGTCTTCATTAGCTTCTCCTGCCTGGAGCAAGGATTGCAAAGAGAGAGAAAGAGAGAGAGAGAGAGATGGCACTAAGTGGTAATGAATGACTTATTTTGTTAAGCATGCTGGAGAAAGTACAGGCTGGAACCCTTCTGGGGTGTTAGACAAACTATTGTCAGGTCAACTTATTTTTCAGAGCACCAGAAGGCAGGACAGGAAACAATGGATGGAAACTAATCAAGGAGAGAAGCAACCTGGAATTGCAGAGAAACTTCCTAGCAGTGAGGACAATTAACCAGTGGAACAGCTTCCCACCAGAAGTTTTGGATGTTTCATCACTGGAGTTTTTTAAGAAGAGACTGGACAGCCACTTATCTGAAATAGCATGGGTCTCCTGCTTGAGCAAGGGGTTAGACTACAAGACCTCTAAGGTCCCTTCTAGCTTTATTCTGATTCGATGCAAAGATATTGTCCTTGCCCTTTTTGCACTGAAAGTCTTTATAACTTGATATGCTCATTTTATTTCCAATGAAAAGGAAGGTTCCTGGCCAGTGTCAAATGGAACTAAAAAAGCTTTGGGAAGTTGTTGGATCTCTTTGTGTGATTTTAGATGCTCCTGTCTTAAGATATCTGGATTAAACTGGTTTAAGATGTAACAATGTGTGTGTTGGTGTAAATTACCCAGAGTCACTTAGGTGAGGTGGACAGTGTAGAAATTTAATAAATAAACAACCATCCATTGGGATTACTGGATATTGAGGTAGAGAAAGGAAGAAAAAGAGGACTTGTGGCTTCATGAGTCTTGATAAATGGAAGATTGGAAACCAGTTTATTACCAAGTCAGACTGTTGTTTTATTTATCTCTGAGTTGTCCATTCTGGTAGAAGCTAGGTGAAGGAGCTGAAGACTGGACTGAGAATGTTCTACATGCAAAACATGTGCTCCCTCCTCATTGCACCACGGGAGAGTTATAAATAAAACAAATTATTTAAATTTAAATGCGAAGTTGGGCTCAGAGTGAAAGGTAGTAAATTGGGAATATATCATACCAGAATTAATAAAGAAGTATATAAAACACTACAGTAATAAAATAAGCTATTTTATGAAACTTTAAGTTGGCTATTTAAACTCTGGTAAGCCTGGTATTGGTATCCATTTGGATCTTAGCTTTGAGAAGCACAAAATCCAGCTGTGTGATTCTTCTTTTTACTAAGAGTTTTGAAATGCAAAACAAAGGATGTTTTTAGAATTTGGTGGAGCAACTGAGAGAGAGAATTATGATCGATGGAGAGCTCCTTATTCTGCTTTCAAATACATTTCAAGAATTAGGTTTGCATATCTGCATCATTTCAAATCAATTTTCCCCAAGCTATGAGGATTCCCTCTCAAACTGGGTCTTTCCTTGGCCACCTTTCCAACCAAAATGAATAAATATCCATTTGTTTATTAAATATTTATGTCGCCTATCTCTCCTATAAGCAAGAAAAATCAATAAGAGAGCCAGTTTGGTCTAATGATTAAGGCAGCAAACTAGAAAGTAGAAGATTGTGAGTTTAAGTCCCATCTTAGACATGACATCTAGCTTGGTGACCTTGAGCCAATCACCAGGAGATGGTGAGTTCTAGTCCTACCTTACCCATGGAAGCCGGTTGAAAGACTTTGAGCCAATCACCAGGAGATGGTGAGTTCTAGTCCTACCTTACCCATGAAAGCCAGTTGAAAGACTTTGAGCCAATCACCAGAGATGGTGAGTTCTAGTCCTGTCTTACCCATGAAAACCAGTTGAAAGATTTTGGGCCAATCACCAGGAGATGGTGAGTTCTAGTGCCATCTTAGCCATTGGGCCAGTCACTCTCTCTCAGCCCAACTCATCTCACAGGGTTTTTGTTGTAGGAAAAATAGGAGGAGGAAGTTGTGTTGGATATGTTCACCTTCTTGAATTATTTTGCAAAAATGATAAAGGTGGGATACACAATAATAAATAAATAGAATAATAAATATAAATAAAATATGGTTGAGAAATTGAATCGATAATAGAGGTGTGCCTACAGGAATGGAGAGAAAAACCAAACATGCTTAAAACATGCTTTCTTCTTCTCCCTCTCTTTTACTTTTCTACTCTCTGCTTATAGCTGGACAGTTTTACTGTATTTGTCATGACTCCATATTCTTTCCATGTGGATGTCTTATATTAGCCATTTATAATGTAGCCCCAGCCAGGACAAAGCAAATCTGGCATTGGAATGCAGAACGCCAAATGGTAAGAAGAATAGGAAAATTGTTCCTTGTAGCTTCAAGTCTTGGCAAGTATTTTGGTTTGGATTCAGTTTTTAACCCAACTTTTTTTTAAACCCCCAACTAGCTGTGCCCAGTATTGTATAAATACATTTATCCTATAGCTGTTCAACAGAAGAACTTCCTGACATATCTGGAGGAGAGAGAAAGCAACGGAGCATCACAAACTGATAAGCAGAGGTCTCTGCTCTTGTTTTCTGTGACATACTTTTATTTATATATTATTTGCTAAATTTATTCACTGCCTATCTGTACTCTAGGCAGCTTACGATAAAAAGGAAGAAGTAAAAAGATGGTAAACAGAACAGAAATAACAGAGCAATAGCACGGACAATGAAAAAAGAATGCAACAAGAATACATCAACACGATAACCTAAAAAAGATGGATAACCAAAAAAGTGGAGAAGAAGGGGGGAGAAGTGGATTCTGCCATCAGTCCAGCAGTCACCTCCAACATGGAACTTCCCCCACTTGGACCCCAGCCCAACCGGCAGAGCCTAGTCTTTAGGCTTGATCATATTTTTATTTACACTATATTTTTAATCTTTGACATCATTGGTTTCCATAGCAAACATGGTAGATTAGCTATTTGACATACTTAGCAGTTTGAGGGCTGAGTAGCAAATTCCTTGAATGAGTCAACTCTCCCCATGACCCAGTCTAGGTCTACTAATCTTTATAATAGAACAGTGTTCTTTGGGCCAAAGGATGGAAATTAACTATGGAAAAGCAAGATGGGAGCTCCATTTTAAGGAGTGAGTGTCATAAGGAAAACATTATTGTAGTTAAAGCAGAGTGATATTCATACTCTCCAGTCAGGGGTCCCCAATCCCTGGGCCGAGGACCAGTACCGGGTTGCAGCATCCCAGAAACTGGGCCATGCAAACAAGCAGCTTTATCTGTGGGATGCAGTCAGCACACAAAACCATGTGCCCTCCAGTCCACAGGAAAGCCTTTCTCCGAGATTGGGGGCTGCTGCATTAAGTATCTTCTCTCTCTGGATATTCTACAAATTACAATTTTGGGAAGCTGAAGTTCAAATGGCCACCAAATGAAAAGACCTCGATGTTGGGAATACTGAAGGCAAAAGGAGAAGGGAACAGCAGAGGATGAGATGGTTAGAGACAGTGTGATTGATGCAGTGAACTTGAATTTGGGAAAATTCTGGAGATGATGGAGGATGGGAGGCACCTGATATGCTATGGTCCATGGGGTTGCAAAGAGTTGGACATGACTTAGTGACTGACCAACAACAAAAAACACTTTTTTGGAGGTTTGGGGAGGGCAGAGGTGGGTGCCATCGGTGGCGTTCCGTGACTTCAGCACCTCATGTTTTGCACTGCAAAGAGGTAGCAAAATTGTTGAACTGTAACTCAAGGTGAATTGTCCATTTCAATCTTTTGTGTTTTTTTTTTTACTGCTATGGGAGATGCCGTTAGAGATAGCCCCAGGCATTCAACTATCCTGAATGATCTCTGAGAGATAGTTGGAATTGTGTGTAATTTCAGGTCACCCAACTCTGCTTGAAGCTCTAGTGGGTCTGACAGCAATGAACTGACCAGTAAACTTTCCCAGTTGAAAGACTTGGTGTGGGCATCCAACTTGCAACCGAACATGCATCTCAGTTGTTCTTGCTTAAATAAATGAGGGTGGTGACAGTCATGCACTGCTCTACATCCTTTGGGTCCACTGGTGGTCACGTCAACTTCTCCATCAAGGAGTAGGAAACCTTACTTTTCATCAGAGCCTGCAGGCTATTTGCCAAACAGCAATAGTCAATCCTTCCTGTTCCTCTTGTCTGCATTAATAAAGTTGCACTCTGTGGTTTTAACAGCTCTCAGTGATGTGTTAAATTTTGAGACAGCATACCTCTCTGTCATAGGCTTTCATACACTAAAAAACATATGCCTCCACTCATTATTGTTGCGAGTGAGATTAAGAGAAGCCAGAAATGAATCCTTACCATTAACTGCTTGATTGCTGGGTGTTCTTCACTTTCTCTGCTTGAGGCAGATTCTTTGTGAACAATCTCAACTCGGATATCATTCTTGGCTGAAACTACTCCTTTCAGATCTAAGCAAAAGAATAAAGAATTGACCGTTAGGAGAAATAACAGGAATGCTCACTGATCCAGAGATCTGACCAACAATTAGGGTCCCCCCCCCCCCAAGAATGCTTTATACAGAGGCACGTTGGTACTTAACTGCTTTAAAAACTCATCTAATTTGGTACTCAATGCATTTTGATGTGAGAACTTTGTCCCGGTATTCATCGTTTGTTTAGTACTAAACACCCAAGCTAAAATTTGTCAGTGTTGGCTGCTTGTGACCCTACTACATTATTCCTTATGAGAAAAATTTGTTTGATATTGATGGTTTCTGGTTCTCATTGTACTTCCTAGAACCAATTAAGGATGAGTATCAAGGTGCCACTATATATCCTTATCTTCCTGGAACCTCAAAAAGTACATGAAGGAATCTTCTAGGATATTCATTAGATGTATACAAGACACAGGGTTGCTGCTATTTATTATTATTCGACTTTCATTGGATAGTATTGAGAGGGTTTGAAACTTAAATCTTCTGAAACTTAGCATTTAACTCTGCTTACAGTGACCTAGGATTGTGAGCCAGATGTCCAGACATATGGAAGGTCACCATTGATACCAGAAGAGCCTTTCCATGCTACAGATATTCTAACATAATCCTTCTTTCCTAGTCAGCAGCATTAAAACACTGGAAATCTGTGAATTGAACATTCTCTTTGGTAAATGAACTATCACATCATCTAAATAATAAACCCCATGAACACACAAGTAAGTTTTTGGATCTTTTCCAAGGGATCAGCCTTAGAAGAGGAAGAGAAGGGGCTGTTTTTACACACAGTGGAGTCCAGAAAAGGGCAGTGAGATTTAGAGACCTGTTTCTTCTTCACCTCCCCACCCCAGGATCCCGAGTCATCTAGTAATCTTTGAAGAGACTTATTTTGAAAAATTAAACCCAAGATAACAAGCAGCAGGCTTGAGAGGAAAGGAAACACTTTCCTCTATGCATGCCTAAGATTAAAAGACTGACAGGAAGTACGGTAAGTCTAAAGAGCCACAAGCTCTGAAAAAAACATTGAAGAGGAGGGCTGCTATTTATAATTGGCCCTTGAATAAACATATTAAAAGGGAGATTATTTATTTATTGATTTATGTCCTGCCTTTCCAATAAATAGTCCTGGAATTAGTTTGCAATAAATAAATAAAGCTTACCCAAACAAAAATCCCCTGGTAAAACCTCCCCAGTAAAGCCAAATTTGACACCTAGCAAAGATCTACCTAACATTAAAATGCATTTATTTGACCACTTGGAGCAGATAAAAATCAAATCATTTTGGGGGGTCAAGCACAACTCTTTCCCCTACAATCATTAATCCCACAAAGTTTTGGAAGAATTTTAAACAGTTAGAATGATATAAAACCCATACAGAAGGATAGTCTTTATGACTCTTAATGTAAGCAAGATAAATCAAACAGTGTCAGGTGTGAACAACCAGATTCACCCATAAATAATTCAATTAGCTGATTTATTGCTCATGCCTATACACATAAATCTTCTCAAAGTGATGGCTTACACCTGGGTAAGACTAGATAAGGTTCAATGGCATTCAAGAGGGGCCAGATTTCACCTTCTTGTGCCTATATAAGGACTTCAGATTAGATCCCTCTTTGACTCCTCCCCCTGGCTCTGCCAGCCTCTCTCTAACTTTGGATTTTCTGTCCAGGAGATGTCAGAAAACATATTTTTATGAGGTTAAGTCAAGCACTCAAGATGTGTTGTGATTCAAGTTGGCAGCCGAGTCAGAGGAGTCAGAGGAGATGGAGGGGGTGCCTTGATCTCCATCGAGCCTTGCAGAAGGCTCTGAGGAGCAGGAGGTCTCAGAACCAGATGCAGAGCAAGGCCCATCTACACACACTCAGGTGGAGAGGCAGCTGTTTCGGGGCCTGAGCTGAGCAAGAGGGAGGAACATCTGGGGCCTGTCCCAGATGTGTGTATGCACAGAGAAATGTGGAGAGGAGATGAATGCAGGACTGAAGGCCAGCTATTTAGGAAAAGAAGGAGAGGTTAACAATCCCCTCCCTGGCTGGGATATAAGGAGGAGGGTTGTGGGAGGTGAGGTTGTTGGAGACAGCCGTTCATGCTCCAGAAGAGTTCCCTCTGGAAGATTCCTTGCCAGGATTTCTTTGTCACTATCCAGGTTGTTCAGGACTCTTTGTGTTGGCATTGGAGTGCTAATTGAGGCTCCCTGTGTGAATCACCTAAGGATGTGTGACCTTGAGCATTGTCAGTGAATGCTTGTATTCCTGCCTTTCTAAATAAAAAGGGTTTTATCCTCATGAGTAGGCTGTTGAGTGGGGCTCATGAAGGCTGGGTCAGAACAAGGTGCATCAGAACCAGGGGATCCTCCACATTGAATTCAATCAGATAGTCCAACAAAAGACATTTGCAGCGTTGTTCAGATGCCATTTGAAAGTTTTTATGTTCGGATTTCCATAGTGTCAATTCAGATATTGGTTGAACCACTACTTGGAGAAACCAATTGAGATAGGATCTTTGTATGGATGTTACTCTTGAGGATTCCCCTCCCCGTTATACTCAAGTACTCTTGTATCTTTCAGTTCTCTGTCTTTAACATCTCTGGCTTGTACATGGTAAGTGGGAACACAGTCTTAAAATGGAACCCAGCTGTTGTGACCACTGGCCTTGCTTTCACCACTTTGCTTGATGGTTTCTTGAAGTTTTGCTTCCTTCTTTTTCAAAAGGTCCATTGCAGTAGCATTGCTCATATATTTGTAGACAATATGCAAACTTTGGATCAAGATGGCATTGTTCTTTTATGAATCTTGCTGACCTAAGGCTTTATCTGTTGATAGCAATAGCACTTAGACTTATAAACCACTTCACAGTGCTTTCCAGCTCTCTCTAAGCAGTTTACAGAGTCAGCCTATTGGCCCCAACAATCTGGGTCCTCATTTTACCTACCTTGGAAGGATGGAAGGCTGACTCAAACTTGAGCCAGTGAGAATCAAACTCCTGGCAGTGGGCAGAGTTAGCCTCCAATACTGTATTCTAACCACTGCACCACCATGGAAGGAGGGAGGGAGGGAGGGAAGGAAGGAAGGAAGGAAGGAAGGAAGGAAGGAAGGAAGGAAGGAAGGAAGG